CAACAACAACAACAACAACAACAACAACAACAACAACAACAACAACACATTTTTGGACATCCACCGCGCCCGGCCCCATCCACATTCAAATCACCGGAGAAGAACCCAACAAATTCCATTTTGCCCCTAGGACGGTGATGCCGTGCTGGTCCCGTGGAAGGGCGTGGTCGCCAACCCAAACGTATTGGCCTGAAGGTTCAAGGCCTGGAGGGGTCAGCCCGGCGACGCGAGCCTTCCTGGTGCGGAGTTGGTAGGGGTTGTGCGCATGAAGCTCTTGGGGCCATCGTGTCATACACGCGGCGGACTCTGTCTGGCATAGATGTCATCCAAATAGGCAAGCAGGAGCTCGGTGGGCCGGAGTTTGCGCTGGATGGCTTGCGGTGCCGCGTTTTGTCCGAAGGAGAACAAAGCAGGCATCAAGGGGTCTCCTTGCTCGCCCCCCCTCGGCTTAGCTGATGAGGTGGTGGTGTCCGTGGTCGTCACGCCAAAAGTACTGTGAGGGCTGGCCGTAAAACAGCCGAACAAAGGGCAAGCATGCAGCGGTTGGATGGTTGGCCGCGGGCACGGCAAGGAGACCGCGCAACATGGCGTCTCGGCAAATGGCCCATCCGCGGACACCACAGTGTTTGTGGGGGTTGGCCTCGCTTGCGGCCGTGAGGGCATGGGTCGGATCCTGCCCGCGTAGATACGGATAGGGCGAATTGGTGCGGCGCACAACTGCTGTGGATGGGCCTCGCTAACATTTGTGCCAGACTGCGAAAGACCAGCCGGCGAAAGACATCCCCGATGACAATACCCCGGACTCGTCCATTGGGTTTTTGCAATGCCACAATCTGATAGTTGCCGGTACCCTGGCTTGCGCCAATCTTTGGGCCACGGCGGTGAGGCTGTGGGTGGTTTCCTCATCATCAAGCATCCGACTAAGTCGCAGTGCCTGCTGTGAGGAATGGTTACGTCCAAAGCACAACAAACTATTTTCTCTGCTTGACACTATGTGTGTGGCCACTTGCGCTTTGGAACGCCGACTCTGCAGAAAACCACTCGGACTGCAGTCTTGCCGCGCTTTGGGCCACACAGGGTGGTGGAGGCTGAGTGCCCAGACGGGTAGGCTTTCCCACCACCGACAAACATACCATACCACTACATGCACCAACAATGTTCCTTCCGCGCGAGTGTGGTGATGACACGAGACCCTGTTTTATTTTTTTACCCGCTCGTTGGCCGCATACTGGCTGGAAACCTATGCTGGCTGGAAAGCCTGGAACCCACGATTTTTGACTAGATACAATGTACTAAATTTTGGAAGACATTTGTGCCCAACCTCAAAATGAGGTGGCCAACCTTACGCCACCCAAAAGATAAATTGCAAATGGTCTTACCATATTGTTCTCCGTGCACTGAAAGCCACATGGAGGTGCAGAAATATGAGCCGGAAGAGGCTGGGAGTCAGGTAGCGCGTGTACAAGCCGTTTGCGCAGACACTGTTATTGCGGTGGGCCCTTGGCGGCGGCTGGCCCAGGGCTTAGACAGCTCATGAATATCAGGGGATCATTTCTGTCATGCGGGTGGCGGTTGCAGCTATATACTGCCCCCACTCACATCAGCAGGCCGACCCAAACCACCGGGGCCAATGCATAGGTGCAGCCGTGCGCTTAGCCCGTTTTGCCAAAAAGAACGGCCGCACCCAGAACTGGTCGGTCTGGGTCTCGTCGTCCTTGGACTTGTGAGCGGCAGGCGGTGGAGCCAAGAATCCAGAAAAACTGAATGTGGTTTTGGTTTTAAAATACATTTCCCTTTGCAAAATAGACAAGGAATTTTCATATTTTCACTTCGCTTCAAGAAGGCCTCAGATAGAGTATAGCGGTTTCGTGTAAATGGTCTCAAAATGAGTCAGTTCAAATTTACAATTAGACATTTTCACTTTCAGTCCGTCGGTATACCTTCATCAGACTCCTGGCAACATAGCCGCTACACAGCCGCAGCCCTCCATGCTGCAAGGCGCGCAAAGGAGCGCACAGACCCACAGTTGCAGAGACCAAGCAAATGCCGACTAGCCGTCCTCGCAGTGGAGGTTGGAGGACGTTGGAGTGAGGAGGCCGCCAACTTTCTACGACAACTCGTTCACGCCAAGGCTCGGACAGTCGCGGCCACCCTCCGGCAATCGACCGTCACTGCATTGGTCGCTCGGTGGTCGGTGGTCCGCCCTCTTCACGCATGCGGCCCAGGAAGCTTTGGCAACCTAATTGGCTTGCCTGCCACCCGTTGGCCTGTCCAACCTCGATGGGGATCCACCTCCCTTGCACCCAGGCATCCAAGCTGAGCCCAATCGACTCCCTCTTCGTGGCTAACATCCCCCACGTCGGTGGGCCTTCCCCGATTCTGAGCGGATGTGTAGCTGGCCAGCTGAGACTAACACGGTCACGGAGAAAAGACAATCGACACCATCTTGGTGTCCCCCCCTCACACCGGCGCAAAACCCAAGCGCTACCAGCCATCCTTCGACCTGCCGCTCACCATGCTTGGATTTCCCGGTGGGCGGTCCACCTATCCACGGCTGCGATACGAGCGTTTGCCTCCAGCCTCCTTCACTTCCCCGCATCCACTTCCACATCTTCCACCAACATCGACGGCCCCCCTCACCCCGCCACTAGGCCCCTTGGACTGTGCACATCGGGAGGCTGGCCAGTGTAAGAAGGGTCTTGCCTCGAGCGCATCTGGAAGCTGGCCACTATAAAAGCAGCTCAAACTCAGACTGCTTGCGTGAAACAGGCTTTGGCAATGAAAACATGAAACATTAGGTTGGCGGGTTGATTTTGTGTTTTGGTGGTGCGCGCGTTGATGTTGGACGCTGGAGAAAGTTGGCCCAAAGCGTTTGCAGAATAAAAACCGACATGTATTTAAGCCCGGCAAGGCGTAAACACATGTTTTGGGAGGGTCACTGCAAGACACAAGACATTCTTCAATGAACCATTTTGTGTCTTCTGTTTTCAACGGAAACTGGTTGTTGAAAACAGTAGCAGCGCCATGGAAGGGTATCCTTCCGACACAGCGCCTAAAGCGGCGGATGTGGAACCGGCAAAGGACATGTTTGGCGCCTAAAACGTCAAAACTCGAAATGTGGAAGCGCGCCTTGTTGAGGCAGCGAGAAAGCCAAGCCCGCAAAGACAGACAAAAATTGAGAGGGAGGGAGAAAAACACAAACGTATATGGAAACGTGAGTGGTGCTGCAATGTGACAGTTTCAACGCGAGGATGATGAAGACAATGACGGAGATGATTCGGCGAACAAACAGTGCTTGTGCTCCAAATTTAAGGAGGAAAAGCCATCAAAACCTTTGCCCTTTGAACGCGGTCCGGTCATTGCAGTTCATGGATTGCTTTGGTTTGGGCCGATGTGGTTAAGGCAAACCGATAAGAAAGGAGGCGAAAATATTGACGAAGACAAGGCCAGCTGCAGTGCTGGAACCTGCGCCAGTTTCAGTTCATTATGGCAAAAACCCATGAAATGCGCCAGCACCACAATTGATTGGTTTTTTGGTTATTGAGTTATTGATGTGTGTGCTCGCAGGAGGATCCAACAAACCAACAACAACACCTCGTTCAGATGTTGCGCAAGCGGGGTCCATGCGAGGACGGGCGTTCTGGAAAATGCAGTTTTTGCCTTCAAAACTTGCCACCTCCACATAAAACTGTAGCCTCGTCATGGGATATGATGTGTATGTTGACATGCTGGCACTTCAGCACTCCAGGAATCGCGACGGCATTCGGAGCGACCTCACACGTTTTGGGACACCCAACCAGTGCCATCAATGAGTTCGGAGCACCTTGGGTGATAAAGTTTGACATGTGCACGTGCAACAGCAATTAGTTCTGTGTTAGGCTTGTGCTGGCAAGCAGATGTGCTGAACAAAACAAAAAATGTTCGTGCACTGGTGAGGAGGTGATGGGATGCCAGTTTGTAACTTTGCATTCTTGTAGGGTGAATGGCATGCCCCATGACAGGTTGGTACGGGATGGTGCCTTGTGTGAGATGCCGCTCGGGCAGGTATTCCCAAGACAACGGGCCTCTTGACAACGTGAAAACTCCTGAAGACGTGAGGGCAGAGCCTGGGTCAACAATTTTGTGTTTCGGAGCGGTGAGCGACAGCAGTTGCAGATGCGAAACTGTTTCAAGTCCACAAACCAATCACAAAACGTCAAAACATCAAAACATCCTAGCAACCATGTTCCGCAACTCGGTGCGCTTGAACCCTTTTGACTGCAACCACCGGCTTGGGTTGCAGCCCGAAAACCTTTGTTGTCGACAGCTTGGTTCCATATAACATTTGATTCAACCAATTGCCGCTGAGACGAACCGTACTGCAGGCTTACGAACCACGCTGGGAGTTGTAGATGAGGGAATGTGGCTAAAGTAAACTGACCAAACGCCTGCATAGACCACGCCAAACCAAATCGACATGAACAAACATGGATTGATGATCCCAATGCTAGAACAGGCAAATGGATTTTGGATTGAACATGGACATGAAACATGAACATTGTAAAATCCAGATACGCAAAGTGCTGGGAAGGCAAAGATTTATCACAAGTGACTTGTTACACAATTCTTGTCACCAAGGAACCTTATCCTCTCCCTGCTCAGTTTGAATGGTGCACTTGTGACTTTGGCTGCTATGTAGTCTGCAGGCATGTTTGAAGACAATTTTCCATCGGTTAACCAAACAGCCGTTGTAACTAATCCATTCTCATTCAGTGTGGCTCGGGCCAAGTGCCTGACATTGAAGAGTTGAATGAACCATTTCCGTGCTTTTCAGGGAGAAACAACTTGATGATGGACATCCGCCGTTCGTCTAGTTGGGCAATTCGGAAGTCGACCGAACCGTTCCACAGTACTGCCCTTGGGCCACGACAGCTCAGTTTCTCTTGCTTTGAGGCGACGTGAACGATGACAAAGAGCTTCAGGAAATCTACACGCTCCTGACAGAGAACTACGTTGAAGACGATGCGCTTCAGCCCTATCGCAGTTGTAGTTGTAGTTTTTGTAGTTGTAGTTGTAGTTGTTCTTTTTCTTGTTGTAGTTGTAGGTGTAGTTGTAGATGCAGTAGCAGTAGTAGTAGTAGTTGTTGTTGTTGTTGGTCGTTGTTTCTTCCTTGCTTTATTAGTCAAGGTGAAATCATGAGAATTCGTTCGTGCTCACACTAAGGATAGTATGTTCCGCTTTGATTATTCCACCGACTTCCTGCAGTGGGCATTGAAGCCACCTGGGTTTTTGAGGAGAAACGGGGAGGTCACAAGAGCTTTCTTAGTGGAACTCAGCGGTCATGGGAAAGATAAAAATAAAGGAAAACAGACTCAGCGGTAATGGGTGCCTCACTGTTGCGTAGCTTGCACCTTTGTGAAGGAAATGGCATCTGGGGGTGCGGGTCAAAGGTGGTGGAAAGTCACTTGCTTGCAGCACTTATATATTTGCCTGAACTCTGAACTCATGTGAGGCTTTGGAGCGAACGGGCTTGTTTTTCAATTGGATCCTGCAAATGCAGCTGGTTTCAACCAACAATCTGAACATGCCAAGGCTGGTTGGCTTTATTACTGGCATCCCCGCCCACATCCAGGAGGGGTATTGTATTGCTGAGGTTGTTACAAAGTTCTGTCACATCAGCATACACCATTTTGCAGAGGCTAGTGGCTAGTGGAAACAATCATTTTGCAATTTGTGCATTAGAGCGTGCTGCTATTTTTGCTCAGCCTTTCTCATGATCGGTATACACTGATCAATTGGCATTTGCGCGGTGTTACCACCCTGTGAGAAGGTGTTCCTTTCAAACCATATATGTAGTTTTTAAACTTAATGATCTTAATGTCCTGTTCTGGAAATCAAGACTCAAGATGAGTGTTTTTGATAGGAACTGAATTGTTTGGCCAGGTGTTTGACAAGCTAATTGACATGGCGGAAATCAATTTCTTGTGCGTCCACAAGAAGCTTAGATCCAAGCGCTTGGCACCTGTGCTCATCAAGGAGGGTACCGTTTTTGGTTTGTCTCATGGCCTCGGTCTTCCTGACGTCGTTAGGCCCAGCTTGTTTTCCGTCAAACAGGTTTGGAGGCACGTCCTGTCAAAGCGTGTCCGGGTGGTTTTACGCCTGCTACTTTGCTTGCTTTGAAGGTGGTAGCTTCTTCCCTCGATGTGTCACCTGCGAGGGGTACCTTTGTGTGTTGTTGGACTTGGAGACTGCAATCCTGGCAAATTCCAGCTCTTGGGTTCCTTTACGGACGTATTGCACCATCGAAACAGAGATGTCAGAAACCAGTGGAAACTCTTCTCTTCTCCGTTTTTGCGCAGGAGATCACCCGGAGGGTGAACTGCGAGAACGTGTGGCAGGCGGTCTACACTGCTGGCGTTGTGCTGCCACGGCCCGTCAGCGAGTGCCGCCGCCTGGTGTTCACACCATTTTCAGACTCCTTCTCTAGCCAGTATATTTCTGCACTGCAACAATTCATGGTTCGTGGATAGATGCTTACAGTGTAGACAGCCTCGGGTCGAAATCCAACTGCATCCACACGCAACCTACGCAGGCTTGAACCACGGCTACAAAAACTGATTGGTTCCGAGACAGGGTGTAAGCAAGTTCAGGCAACAGGAACTCTGTTCAACTGGGGTAGGGAGTGTTGAGGTGTTTTGCAACTGCAGCTCTTGGGTCGTTTTGCGGCCAAACGTTTCGGTAAGCTTGTCCACGGATCTTTGGCAACTCATGGCTGATTGCAGATCATGTGCACTTGCGCGCCTGCCCAGGATATCATCATCGCTCTTTGAATCCGAAGAAACTCATAGAGGTGGGTTTTTCTCATCTGGGTGCTCGCATGACTATGGCGAGGACGATCAAGCTATACAAGGCAGGCCTCAGATCAGGACGAATAGATATGAATAGATCACGAGTATTGGATTTGTCTCACTGATGCATATGCACCACAGAGTGCTAAAAACTGCAGATTATTTGGGAAGATGTTGAGCGAGATTCTTCCACAGCTCCCATTTGTCGCTTGTTGACCACTTCCAGGTGCCAGAGACGTGCCAACTTTCAGGAATGCGAGAGATGAGAAAGGAAGACGTTCCACGTGTGCATGCTTTGGTTTCGACCTACTTGAAGATCCTTGGACACAAGCTGTCCAAGCAGCAAGCAAACGAAGGTCTGCTCAAACCTCCTTCACTGCTTTGTCATTTTGCAGCTAGATGGGGCTTGCTAAAAAACAGACAGCTAGCACGCGCACACACACACATATGCGCAGCAAAGTCGCATAGTGGCATAGTGCTTTTGGCTACCAGCAAATGGGGCAGTTGTGGGTACTGTGATGTGTGTTCACCCTGATAGCCTTGTCCTATGAGGAAGTTCCAACTTCATCCAGAACTATCGCCAGAAGAGGCTCTCTGCTGGTTTCATTTTAGTAAGCTGAGCTTCATGGTTTCATCCCTGCTTTGGCGGGGTGAAAACATCTTAATATCCGCTCTCTTGCCGCTTTTTAAAAGTTGCTCATGCCCAACTGACGTTTGATGCAGATCAATCCTTCATTGTGAGCTAGTTTGCGGTGAAAGGTGGAGCATTGGATGATGCCACGTAAAGATGTCGTGTACTGCTACGTCCGCGACTTGTCAGCGCTTAGCACCAGGCGGAAATGCTTTTCTGAAAGAACGGAAGATGAGGAGACGCCCACCAGCAAAAAACACTCGTACCTGCTGTTGATGCACCACAAGTCAAGAAAAGCCGATTCAGCGGAAGGAGACGAGAGCCTTCAGGCAACCCTGCCTGTAGGTGAGAATGAGAAGGGCGAGATCAACGATGTGTGCTCCTTCTATAATTTGCCCTCCACCATCCTAGGCTCGGACACAAGTCGGTTCTGATTGTTGGAATTGCAGGTTCAAGTTTTTGTCAAAGAGAATGAGTGCTTAGTTTGTGAATGGGGTTTGCTCATACCCAGCTGCTATGGATCCTTGCTAAGTTCGCTTAGCCGGCTTTTTGCAGTATATATCATTTTATAGGTGCGGAGATTTGGGTGAACGAAGACTTGCTACACCCCATCCAATCCACCTGTTCAGTGTGCCATGTGGTAGCAGAAGTGATGACACCTGTTCACTGCTTCTTCTATATGCAGACAGGAGTATGCATGACAAGGGTATGTGGACAAAAGAGCGTAGTGGGCACATAGACAATGACGCTCACATGATGCTGCGAGCGGCTAAGAACGATTATTAAGATTCCAGGTTTGCAACAAGTGACTCGGAGTGACGCAGGGAATGTCCTGTGTAAGGAGAAAAGGTTCTTCCTGTCGCTGCAACTCTTGTGCATCAACGGATGATGGCAAATAAAGCATTAAAACAGCAATTCATGTGCATGCTAAACACCGACATTTGATCACCTTTCCTGATCAGGCCATGAGAAGCACAACCAGCTGAGAGCAGCCTACTCATACTGGAATGTGGCCACCACAGTTCCTTTGCAGGAAGCCTTAGGGAAACATATGTACATCAAGGTTTCGCATCATTGACAAGCAACAGTTCTCTGCTGGCTGGAGATTGAAACGGGAGAACTTGCTAAGAACTGAGCGTTCACAGCTCTCTTGCCTCATCATTGAGTTCCTAAAAGTGGACGACAAATCCATCTCTTGGAAAAACCAAAAGAGAGAGAGAGAGAGGCAGCCAATTGTTGCAGGACTTGATGTATGATGCGCTAATTTTAGCCAAGCAGCTCGCTGTGGGCTTAGAAGAAACTCATGAACTTGCTGTAACTTGTCATGGGTCATGGGTCATGTTGGGTAGGTGGAAGGAAAAACAACAGAGCAGCTCAGTCCGGTAGGATACGTTGAATGTGCCACTTGCAATGCAGACCTTGTTTGTGGAGGATTTCGACGTGTTCAATGCGCTGGATGTCATGGAGAATGAGAGCTTTCTCAAGGTCCAGGGCAACCAGCTTGCTGTGATCTGATTCTTGATTTGTTGTTTTGGTCATGTCATGCTTGTCATGGCCTAGGCTACTAGCTCTTGACTTTCCAACGCGTTGTGCTCTCCATGTGCAAGCACTGACAAGCTTTCCAGTGATCGAGTGCAGGAGCTGAAGTTTGGCATCGGTGATGGGTTTCTGACACTCAGCTGACCATACCTTCCCCCTCTTTGATGGCTCCCTTACTGGTCCTGATGCTTACCTCTTATATAAGTCGCTTTCAATGCTTGGAGGCAGTACTACCTCTACAACTGGAAGTGCCCAAAGATTGACCCGCAGGGCATTGGCCTGGTTCTTTTGTGACCGCGAAGCTAACTTGGTCACCTGAGAACGGGTGTCGAGGTTCTCCTATGAAGGCAAAAGCCGACCAAAGCCAGAACTGGAGAAAAAGATAAAGTCGGCTGAGGCACACCTTTCAACCGATTCAGCGGTCTGACTGTTGGTCAGCCGGCAAGCTGCGGGTGCTGCGAGGGCTATGCCTCGCTCGCCTTCGTTGAATTTCAAGCTGAAGCCCACCTGACAATGACCACAATGAGATTATATGATGTTGAGATTTTATCACACTGATCCGGACCAAGAAGGGCAAGATGGTCACGTGGTACTGGTTCGACATTTCTTTCGTTTTCTGGCCTCACCTATGTACAGTAAAATATGACCCAAAGCAACAATCCAGCTAACTCACCATGACATGACGTTAACTTCAACACGTGCACACACCTCTTTGGCGTAGAACTGCGGCACCCTTTGCTGGCAGCCATGGCAGAAGCTGCAAAGAGCCCTAGCAAGGACTGAGTAGATGGTGTAGTCGAGCCTATCTGCAAACCAGAAATCAAGCACCTTGGTAATATGGCCAGTTTGAAGTGTTTTGGTAAATGGTAGGTGGGTTCCACTCATTGGTTTTGCTGGTGCGCGCTAAGGGAAAGCAATAATCAGCAGGGTCCTTCAGTAGGCTTCTTGGAGAATCATGGAAACGAGATCAGACAAGTAGTTCAGCTGTAGTATTCAAGAAATTAGAGGCTATGGTAGCCTGGCCATCCACTGTCTCCTGGTGTTCCATGATTTCATGAACTTGTACCAATGTGCCTCAACAAATGTGACATTTGAGTGTTGCAAGAAGCACCTTGCGAAAGATCACCAATCACCAACCAGTGATGAGAAACCGACCGCAGATGGGGCAATGAACAACCGATTCAAAGCAATGTAGATCAGTAAGAAGCACCAATTATGAAGCACAGAGAAGAAGAAAGCTTAGACAGTGGCGAGCTCTTTAATAGTTTGCAAGTACCTGCGAAGAAAGAAAAAGAGAGACCTTTGTATGGCAACAAACCTTTATCTTATTTTCACCATCCTCCAGCATCCTGCACACCAAATCGCTGACCCTTCCTTTCTGCAGGAAGACAGAGACGAAGATGAGGAAGCTGAAGACGAAGAAGAGGATGAAAACGAGAACGAGAACGAGGAAGGTGCCCAAACTGGTGAAAAAAAGAAGAAACAGAAGCCTCTCAGCAGCATGGAGTAGGCTCAAATGGTGGTTGCGGGATTCGAGTCAAGGAGAGAGCGCAGACGGTTCAGTAGCAGTGCGATGTTATGTACCTGGTCGCATGGTGGTCCTGCAGACAAAGTATGACATTGGTTTGGTTAGACTAGTTAAGGAAGAAGCCTGCCAAGACGGAAGGCACCGCTGGCTACCCTTCCACTGCAAATGGCGAGGAGGATGGTGAGATGAACGAATAAACGCCACACTCGGTGTAGAACCGAGAGCCTGAATACTTGACGGTGAAGAAGTCCAATTGGTCATTGCTTGGCACCTGACACAAGTAGGTTGTTCCTTTTAACATTCACTTGGCGCTTTGCAGGAGAAGGAAGATCCTGACCAGCAGCAGCACTTGCTCCAAATGTTGCGCAAGCGTGGCCCATGTGAGGAGGGGCTGGCATCATGTTTATTTTTAGCTCCATCTACATCCCAGAAAAGGAAAGCTGCACAAGTGGGCTTCAATCGGCTTTAAAGGCCATACAGTTATTATCACGAGGTGTGCAGCTGGACCGATCATAGGTAGGATAGATCAATGAATGTGTTTCTGGTAGCTTTGTAGCTTCTTGATTTGAGACAAGCACCCTTTATCAGGGTATGGCATCCTTGCAACTGTGCCCATTCCATGCATCCAATTGTGTCGGATAGCTGCTTTCTTTATGCTCGAAGCAGTCTGAGTCGTTCCAGCAGGAGTCACGCAGACAGACGGCGCGGGAGCACCTTTTTTGGGACACGCAGCCTGTGCCATCGATGGGCTCAGAGCAACATGGTTGTGCAGATTCAGCGGCAGCATGCAGTAGCATATTCACAAGCTTCATAGGCACAACACGCACACAGATATATATATATATATATGTGTATGTATGTATGTATGTATGTTAAGTTGCTTGGGGACCGTCGTTCGTTGTTTCGGGGGAATTAGCGCAGAAGAAGTGTTTTTGACCCTTGCGGACCTTTGAAGAATTGGTAGTGGCAACATACGAGACCCAAAGGACTATTTCATAGGTTTGTCTGTCTCGTGAGTGGTGAGTGAACGGCCATGGTAAAAGCTTTGTAGACGTTGTAAACCTTTGTAAGTTTGTTTGTAATTCAACAACTCTGTCAACTCTTTGCAAAAGTTGCAAACTTTGTACAAAATATTAAGACTTTGTGAAAGTTTGGTAAGCTTTGTATAACTTTGTAAAAATATAAAACTTTGTAAACGTTCTAAAAACTGTGTAAAACGTTGCTCTAACTTTGAAGAATAGTTTGAAGAACTCCAAAACTTCGTAAAAGGTTTGTAAACCTTTTTACAAAGTTTGCGAATTTTACAACGTCTTAATAAAGTTTTACCAAGTTCTTACAAAGATTTACAAGTTTAAAGGTTGACAAAGCTTACAAAGTTTGACAAAGTTTAAAAATGTTTTACAAAGTCTACAAAGTGTTGACAAAGTTTACCAAGTTTATACCAGGTTCACTACGTTTTTACAAGGCTTTCAAAGTTGGTACAAAGTTTACAAAGTTTTACACAGATTTTATGAAGTTTGCAAAGTTTTACAATCGTTTACCAAGTTTACAAAGTTTTACAAAGTTTACAATATTTTAACACTGCTTACAAAGTTTTGAACAATTTCCAAAGTTTACCCAGTTTACAAAGGTTTTACCATTAAAAAATCAATTAAAGACGTATTGAAAGTTTTACAATGTTGCTGCAATGTTGACAGTTTTTACAAAGTTTACACAGTTTTAAGTATTGAAAGTTTACAAAGCTTGTACAAAGTCTATACATTTTTTACAAAGATTGCAAATTTTACAATTTTACATGGAGTTTTTTCAAAGTGTACAAACATTTGCAAACTTTACACAGTATTTACATAGTTTACAAAGCTTTCACAAAATTTGCAAAGTTTATACAGTTTACACAGTTTTTGCACAGTATTGAAAGTTTACAACGATTTTAGAAAGCTTTTGAATTTGACAAAGTTCTTGCAACGTTCGGAATTTACACAGTTTTTTCAATTTTTACAGAGTCTACAAAGTCTCACAAAGTGCTTACAAAGCGTTCAAAGTCTTTACAAAGTTTACAAAGTTGTACAACGTTTTTACAAAATTTACAACAGCTTTTTCAAGTTTACAAAGTTTTTACAAAGTTTACAAAGTGTTTACAAAGTTTACAAAGTTTTTCAAAGTTTACAAAGTTTTTACACAGTTTACAAGGTTTTTACAAAGTTTTTACAAAGTTTACGAAGTTTTTACAAAGTTTACAAAGTTTTTACAAAGTTTACAAAGTTTTTACAAAGCTTACAAATGGCTGGTGAAAAACACTTATGTTTGCAACAAATGACATGAAAAACACTTCAATCGTGCAAAAACACTTCTTTCACAGAACTTTACAAAGTTTTACAAAGTTTTTACAAAGTTTACATAGTTTACACAGTTTTTACAAAGTTTACAAAGTTTTTACAAAGTTTACAACGTTCTGACAAAGTTTGCGACATTTGCCTTTTGTTACACAAATTTACAAAGTTTTTACAAAGTTTACAAAGTTTTGAAGATTTTGGAAAGTTCACCAAGATTTTGCCAAGTTTACGAAGTTTTGCAAAGTTTACAGAGTTTCGACAAAGTTTACAAAGTTTTGACAACGATTACAAAGTTTTGATAGTTTATTTATTTGCAAAGTTTACAAAGTTTCTTTCTACATTTACAAAGTTTTTACAAAGTTTGTACAGTTTCACAATTTGTAGAAAGTTTTGAGGAAATTTACAAAATGTTCAAAGTTTACAAAGTTTTCACAACGTTCACAAGGTCTTTCAAAATGTTTACAATGCTTTGACAAAGTTTGCGAAGTTTAAAAACGTTTTACAAAGTTTGCAAAGTGCTACGAAGTTTATAACGGTCTTTTTTTAAATAGAGTTTACGAAGGCCTACAACATCTAAAAGTTGTTTACAAAGTTTACAACATGTTAGTACAAAGTGTACAAAGTTTGCAATGTTTACAAACTTTTTGACAAAGTTCACAAAGTTTTGACAAAGTTTACAAGTGTTTCAGTGTTTAAAAAGTTTACAATTTTAACAACAGTTTACGAAGTTTTGACAAAGTTTGCAATTTTTTCAATCTTTACACAGTTGTTGCAGAGTTTTGAAAGTTTACACAGTTTTAGACTTTCACCAAAGTTTCTACAAAGCTTACACAGCTTTTACAAAGTTTACAAAGTATTTACAAAGTTTACAAAGTTCTTACAAAGTTTACAACGTTTTGCAAAGTTTTCAAATAATAAAGTTTACAAAGTTTTGACACAGATTGAAAAAACAACGAAACTTTGTAGAAAGTTTGTAAGCATCAAACACTTTTGCAAAAGCTTTGTAAAAACTTTCAAACTCAATAACTTGGTAACAACTTTGTAAAATTCCAAAGCTTGTTCAAAGCTTGATAAATGTCCAAAGCTTTGTTCAGATATCTAAAGGTTCAATACTTTGTAAAAACTTCGTAGTTCCAAAATTTTGTAAAATTCAATGTACTGTAAGTTTCCAAAAAACTTTGTGAAGTTTGTTATTTCTATTTTTAAACTTTGTAGACTTTGTTAAAACTTTGTAATGCAAAAACTCGGTAAAAAAGTTGTAATTCCAAAACTTTGTCAAATTTTTGTAAAGATCCAAAACTTTGTAAACACTTTGTAGGAAGTTTGTTTGAAGACCTGCGAAAGCTGTTCAAGAAGAGCTGATCTTTGGATCAGTGAGACTGCTTGCATTTTTTTGTTAAAAAAAACGGCATTTGGTGCTTGCGCTTTGGGAATTTGTGACTGATGGCTCTAGTGTTTCAGGGTATTGAGGGTGAGAAGAAGGGTCGAATGGTTATTGGTTGTGCAAGTGTTTTAAGACTTGGCCACGGAAGCACCAAAACACTTCTTTCATTTTTTACAAATAACATTGGTGCAAAACACTTCTTGCGAGCAAAAACACTAAACTCAAGCAACTTAACATGTATGTATGTATGTAAGTAAGTAGGTAAGTAAGTAAGTAAGAAAGTAAGTAAGTAAAGTAATGTATGTAATGAAATGAAATGAAATGTAATGTAATGTAATGTAATGTAGAAAAATGTAATGTAATTAATGTAATGTATGTAATTAATGTAATGTATGTAATGTAAAGTAAAGTAAAGTAGAGTAGAGTAAAGTAAAGTAAAGCAATGCAATGCAATGCAATGCAATGCAATGTATGTATGTATGTATGTATTAATGGCATGTAATGTAATGTAATGTAATGTAATGGTATGTATGTCTGTATGTCTGTATGTCTGTATGTCTGTCTGTATGTCTGTATGTCTGTATGTATGTATGTATGTATGTGCCCCTTGTAATCACAGGGATCCCGTTGGATTGTTTTTCTTCTTTTGAGCAGGGGGACTGTCTACCCCACAGAAGTGACAGTCCAACGAAGAGGCTTCTGTGACGGTACTGATATCACTGGAGAGGTCCAGTGACGTACCTGCTCGTTTTGACCTGGAAATTCCCAATGGTCCGTGCTTTTAGCTACAACAAGATTCTGGCCTTTGCACCGGTTTGCTCTCGGCAGTCACGCATAGGGCTTTGGTTTTGACTTGCAGGTGTGAGCGGACGACGTCATTTTGTTGGTCGATGACTTTTAGGTGTTTGAACAATTGGTTTCATCGCATGAGACCGTGACAAAGCTTAAAATCCAGCAGGTACGCCAGGATGGCCAATCCTGGTATCCCGTGTTCAGACTAGCGTCGTTGGGCGTAGTCATATGAACACGCTACGCCCCCCTGCTGGTTGGTGAACGTGTTGAAAAATTGACAAACTGCACGCTAATAGCGATACCAGGAGCCCTTAGTAGCGAAACCAGCGGCCCCTAGTACCGTCCTTTGTGACTCAAAACCTTAGGCACAGGTGTGTGGACACACACACGAAGCCGTACTCGGCGCGCTCTCCCCAGCTTGCAAACTAGTAGCGAGGCCAGGAGCCCCTAGTGGCGTCCTTACTCCCCGTAGAACGGCCAGACCTAGTAGTACCGTCCTTGCTCCTAGTAGCGATGCCAGAAGCCCCTAGTAGCGTCGTTTGCGACGCAAAGCCTTAAGCACATGTACGGATACATACACAAACACAAGGCCGTGATCGGTGCGCTCTTTGTACACAACTTTTGTACACATAGCTTTGTACACATAGCGCCAATATTGGCGCGCGGAAAAATACGAGCCACCTAAAAAGCCTTAGAAAGACAGACAAAGAAAACATGACAAAAGCAGACTAAGAGGGCAAGGAAGAAAGATAGGTGTAGTTACGAGGCCCACTAGTTACAATACGTGCAGAAGCTAGCGAGCGGGACTTTGGTCTTATGCCGCCCGGGTAGCTAGAGGTAGGACAGGAGAAATAGAAGGAAAGGCACCAACGCACAAGTGTGTTGAGTGCGACTTCCTTCTATAGCCCTAGATAGCGGGTGGGATAGCAACGGAGACCTGGGGCAGGGAGGGGTGGCCCAAAGGCTGTCATCATTGACATTTCAAGCCGATTATGGGACGGTGGACCCATTTCTGACAAGCAATTGAAACCTAAAGAAACCTAAAGAAAGGCCTCCAGAAAAAGAAAAGCAACAGCAGGAAAGAAAAACCCAAAAGGGCCAAAAAAAAAACACTCTCGTTTCTCGCTCTCTTCCGGCCTGTGAATACTTAGCAGCGTGACGTGGACATGTGAATGCGGCATAGTATCAGTGGTATCGTGCAAAGCAGTCAATCAGAAGGAATCGAACGAAATGCCAAGGTGGAAGCAATCCTTCAGGATCTGGGTCTATGCACATGCGGCGCCCCTCGATGGGGATCACACCACAGCCCTCAGTGGGACTGTGGCGAGTGGATGGTTGCTCGCAAGAGCTAGGATCAGTATGAAGCCCCCCTTTACACGCATTAGACCTTGACTTGAAAGAACCGAAAGGCGCAATAACGGAAAGGCGGCTGAGTCGGCTGACTTTTAGGTGTTTGAACAATTGGTTTCATCGCGTGAGACGGTGACAAAGCTTAAAAATCCAGCAGGTACGCCAGGATGGCCAATCCTGGTATCCCGTGTTCAGACTAGCTTCGTTGGGCATAGTCATCTGAACACGCTACGCCCCCCTGCTGGTTGGTGAACGTGTTGAAAAATTGACAAACTGCACGCTAATAGCGATACCAGGAGCCCTTAGTAGCGAAACCAGGGGCCCCTGGTAGCGTCCTTTGTGACTCAAAACCTTAGGCACAGGTGTGGACACACACACTTATGGATATGCATACGGAACTGACAGCGGTGCCACACGCCGGCCTAGGTTACCATTTCCTAAGGGTACAGGTGAGGAACCCTGAAAAGGAGTGGAGGCCCATCAAGTTCAGCGTGGCCATCTACTCTAAAGGAGCCATCGAACGATCGACCGACAAAATGACGTCGTCCGCTCACATCTGCAAGTCAAAACCAAAGCCCTATGCGTGACTGCCGAGAGCAAACCGGTGCAAAGGCCAGAATCTTGTTGTAGCTAAAAGCAGGACCATTGGGAATTTCCAGGTCAAAACGAGCAGGTACGTCACTGGACGTCTCCAGTGATATCAGTACCGCCACAGAAGCCTCTTCGTTGGACTGTCACTTCTGTGGGGTAGACAGTCCCCCTGCTCAAAAGAAGAAAAACAATCCAACGGGATCCCTGTGATTATAAGGGGCACACACACACACACGCCTCCCCGAGGGGAGGCGAGACGCACTAAGGTCAGGGCAGAAGTGTGAATGTGCGCGCAGTAAGACAAAAGAATGAAGACATGAAGAGGACAAGACCGGACAAGAATGTATGTGGTTGCAATGAAAAGGAACCAAGTGCACAGGAACAACCGATGACAACCCACCTCATTGTAAAAACCTGGGCGACCTGAAACCTGACTTGAAAGTAGGTTGCGCATGTGCGAACTAAGGGCCGGGCAGTGTGCACGCAAAAGAAGGAAAGAGATGAGATGACAGGACATGAAGCAAGGGAAGACATGAAAGAAAAGAAGAGAAAAGAAGTGTGTAAAGGGGAAAGGATGAAAAGGGGAACCAAATGGAGGGGACCGAAACCGATGAAGCCAAACCTCATTACAACGACCTAGGAGAACCTGCCTCGTTTGAATGTACACGCTGTATGTGCACCCAAGGTCGTGACAGGTTCCAATGAACCTTAAACTGGCTTTGACCGCTGTGGTCACCTTGTGCCCTGCCGAAATGGCTGGCTGCTTTGAGCGCTGCCGTCACGTACAGGCATGAGCCAACTTGGAATTCCAAAATTGAGACAAACATCCCACTTCTTGTGGCGTGAGCCAGCTTCGCCCCGCTGTGGGCACTTACGTTTCCAAAGCAAGGGAAACAACGACAAACCCCCGTTCGACGGGTCTACGGGAGGCACTCTGCGGGCTCATCCCGGGTTGGCACGAGGCCAAACACACTTATGGATATGCATACGGAACTGACAGCAGTGCCACACGCCGGCCTAGGTTACCATTTCCTAAGGGTACAGGTGAGGAAACCTGAAAAGGAGGTGGAGGTCCATCAAGTTCAGCGTGGCCATCTAATCTAAATGCGTGTAAAGGGGGGCTTCATACTGATCCTAGCTCTTGCGAGCAACCATCCAAGTGTATGTGTGTGTGTACGCGTACATATATTACATGATTCTATTGAACATTGTAATGGCCCAACGATCCTTTCTCATTGCTAGTGTGAATAGTGTGATCAAGATGTCCCTGCAAAGTACACTTGTTACTCCGATTGGTCTTCCCGGACCAATACACACTGACTCCCCAGAGCAACCGGCGTACCCTTACACTAACCCTTTGATGAGCGGAATGCCGCGTACAACCAGGGAAACCGACATCATCAGCGTAACTGCGAAGTTCATTTGTCGTGAGTTCACTTGCGGAACCTTGCAGCTACGCTTGACAGACGCAAGTCATGACACTTGACATCCAGGTATGGCCAAGACAGTGGGCCTTTGGACGAGTTGCGCACAGTAGACGATGTGCGTGCAGAACCTTGGCCATCTCAAAAGCAAGCGCACCGCGTTTTGTTTTCTTGCATGATAGCGGGATTGTGCCGCTGCTTCAGTGATCACTGCATGATTCCCACAATGGACAGAGAGAAGCGAGAGAAAGGGGAGAGAGAGAGAGAGAGCGAGAGAGAGACAGAGAGAGAGAGAGAGAGAGCCAGCACTAGCATGTTATGTGTAAATTGCATGAAATTGCTGTCCTATGTTAATTTTAATGACCCTAGCAGCGTCGCTTTGGGCACTAGGAGCCATACCCTCTACCCGACAAGTTCGAATGGTGCACTTGCAGCTTGGACAAGATTTGACAAGTCGGACATGGAGTTGCGAGGGTTCGGATTTTAACCGCCAGCCCACTGGATTCCTACATATTTGTACCTTCATTTGGGAACTACCTGCATACCAAGAGATCATGTGATCCCAGCTCTGGAGTTGAGGTTAAGTCATTCCTTAGGTAACGTGGATGACGACAAAGAGATCGATGAAATTTACACACTCTTGACTGAAAATTATGTGGAGGACGATGTGACTTGGCAGCACAAGTGCGCTGAGGCAGAATATCCGCAAGAGCTCTTGGAAATTCCGTGCATGTCTAAACTGCGAACCCTTCACTAACAGCACATGTTCTGCTTGGGACACCTAGGACAGTATGTTTCGGTTTGACTATTCGATCCACTTTCTGCGCTGGGCGTTGAAGCCACCCGAGTTCTTGAGGAGGGCATTGCAAATATGCACAGTGTTGGGGGGGAAGAGTCGGCCCAGAACTTGTGTTGCTGGCAGGAGTTGGCATTTGGGGGTTCGAGTGCAAGGTGGAGGAAAGATGCTTGTCCTGTTGGAGACTGCCTCGCAGCCCATGTTTTGGAGGGTATATTTTAGGTCTGATATTTTTTGTTGCTCTGATGGTTTTTTTGCTCAGCTTTTTGGCAGCTTGTTTGTTGTGTTTTTTTGTGGCTTCTCTGGCTTCTGTGGCTTTTGCTGGTTTTAGACAAGCATGGCTTTTGTGGCTTTCAGCTTCTAGTGGCTTTAGCCTTTGATGGCATATTTCATGGCGTGTCACACACCCGCACATGAAAATGTCACCACCGAAAAACCGCACTCTCCTCAGAGGCACCAGGCGACTACAATGCTGGGAACCTCCCTACCTACCTCCCCAAAGAAAAGATTTTCCACAACAATATATCTCGCTAGAAGCTTTATGTCCTCATGATGTTTTGCCTCCGTTTTTTTGTTGCCTTCACCCCGGCGATGCCTTTGCGATCAAACCGCCTTCCATGGTCAGAGCTGTTGCGTGCAGAGGCACATCTGAGGCTTGTCGGATTCATTACCGGAATCCCTGCCAAGATTCGAGCCTTGACCCCAGTTGATCAATGGCTTTAATTGCCTGCAGAATGTATCCAAACTCCTAAACCTTGGAGTGCTAATGAGCAGCTTCCATGAAATGCCCCTTAAGGTGTTTGAGAAGTCCATTCAGATGGCGGAGATCAATTTCCTTTGTGTCCACAAGCGGCTGCGATCCAAACGACTCGCGCCCGTGCTCATCAAGGAAAGCCGCTTTCAGCTCACACGGTCAGTTGTGCTGGGTGGATGAGGCATTTCCGTACAGCTACAAAGGCTCTTGTAGGTTGGCATGGTCTAGAAGTCACTTCATAATAGCCGCACGCCATATGGTTAAGATTCAGCCATTGCGACATTTTGCTATCCCAAAGCTCAGGAGATCACTCGCAGAGTAAACAGGGAAAATGTATGGCAAGCTGTGTATACCGCTGGAGTTGTGCTTCCTAGACCCATCAGCGAGTGCCGCTTCTGGGCCAGTTCGAGAGAAACAACTGGGAAACATGTTGGGAGATCTCCGTTGGTGGGAGCGGTGGCACAGGGTCTCGTGTCCCCAGGCTATTGGCATCGATCTTTAAATCCCAAGAAGCTCATAGAGGTTGGCTTCTCACACTTGGGTGCGAGAATGACCATGGCACGAACGATTAAACTCTACAAGGCGCGACCAAGCTTTTCTGAGATGTGGAGCCAAGTTGATACTGCTTAGCGAAATGCAGCTTGATAGACAATGAGAGCAAATGGTGGAGACCAAAGCGTTGTTGTGCAGAGGTTCCCGACATGCCGCAGCTCCCTGGCATGCGAGAGATGAAGAAGGAGGATGTGCCTCGAGTGCACGGCTTGGTGCTGAACTACTTGAGGACCACTGCAACTGCGGTTGTTGTTTTGTAGGATTATAAGATTCAAATTAATAAGATTGATGGCATTCGAAAAAGCTTGGCTTTGAATAGTTTTTGATTGGAGAGGAAGTTCACATTGCACCCGGAGTTTACACCGGAGGAGGCCTGATAGCAGGTGAAGAGTTTATGGAAAGTCATATATAGATTGCACAACTTTTGTAAGATATTCAATCTGGTCCCAAGGGCAGGATTTGTTTTCGCAACCTCAGTCAGTGCAAAAGACATCTGAGATGGCCTTCAAGGTCTTCTTTTTTGGGACTTGCACGCGCAAGTGCGGTGAAGTACAGTCCAGGTGGAACATTGGATGCTGCCGCGGCCTGGTGTGGTGTACTGCTATGTTCGTTAGCGCCCCAGAAGTTAGAGTAAGACATTTCCAGGAAGAGGCTGGCTTGAACAAACGACAACAAGGCTATGGCTCAAAAATGGGGTACACCCCGAACCTACTGGTAGATGGTACTATCTAAAGCCTATCAGTTCATGCGCCTAACGTCATCGAAATGACTTGCAAAGCTTGAGGGCATGGGAGCCGGATATAGGCTCTGCCTTTGAGGTGAGAATGAGAAGGGTGAAGTGACTGACGTGTGCTCCTTCTATAGCTTGCCCTCCTCCATCCTAGGCGACTGTGGGGCCAGGGTATAGATTCTGAAGGTTTCTCGTTTGCTGTGTTGCCGCGGGGGCATGCAAAAACTACAGCTGGAACCTCCCACGGATTGACAGGGTGGTTTGGGTTGTTCAGCTGTGGCAGGCCATGCCAAGCACAATACTTTGAAGGCAGCCTATTCATATTGGAACGTAGCTTCCACGGTGCCCTTGCAGGAGAGGCAGGCGGTGCCCTTGTTAGTCTTTTGTCCGTCCGGCTTTGGAGGACCTGATGTATGACGCTCTCATTTTGGCCAAGCAGCAGGACAAGCATGGATCTAGAGTCCATGGTCTAGGGTCTGGATGGGCACTCATGGGCCACGCCGACTCAGGATTTTGATGTCTTCAATGCTCTGGACATTATGGAGAATGAGTCATTTTTGAAGGAGACGGGCCCGACGGGCGGGAGGTTTTCACACCCAACTGGTTGCAGCACTGGGATTCTTGTGGGTACGGTTGACGTCTCCGCAGGAGCTGAAATTTGGGATTGGTGACGGCTACTTGTGACTTGATTGGGCAGAGGGTGTTTTTTCCTTCACGTGGTGTTTAATCAAAGGTGTTTCATTGTTTGCGAGCTGCATATGGCTGGGGCTTGGAGCCGCTCTCCTTGCGCTGTTGCAGACCACATCAAAGGACGGCGTCATGACACGCTTGGCTGTAGTGGTGTGCTTTGAAGTGCACTGATCCCAAGGCAATACTATCTCTACAACTGGAAATGTCCACGGATTGAGCCAAGAGGCATAGGGTTGGTCCTCCTATGATTGGCATAGAGATGAGATGTAGAGATCGACAAGAGGTAATTGCTCAAGCCGGGTGTGCGGACAGCAACGACGCAGCTCTGCCCTTGTCTTCAGTGCTGTGAGCGGTGCATGTCACCCCAAGTCTCTTTTTCCCCCAAATTCAGTGGCACCAGTGGCATGTGCTGAAGTCAAAGGCAACGCGGGTGACTCTGCTTCATTGCAGAAGCATCCTCAAGAACAAAGTTTGATACAGGCCATCGTTTAGTAGTCGTTTCCCCAGCCCCCAACCTTGGCTGGGCCAAATAGGCTCACAGTTTGGGTGAAGCATGAGTGGCTTCAGCAGCCTTGTGATTTTGGAGACCTGCATGAATGAGAGACCGAGATCTACGCCAAGTGAAAGGTCCGCTGAAGCATGCGGTCAATGAGTCAAGGGAAATCAGAGTCATTGCCATGCACATTGAATAACAGCATCATTCTGAGCTTTGGTCCTTTGAAGCTGTTTCTTTTATTTAACCGTTAACCTTGTTTGTGTCTTTTATGAATACCATTCAGATCATTCCTCAAACACGCTACGTTGGTCAGTTCATACCCCTGATTCAGTGGGAGACGCCGGTGTTGTTACTTGTTCTAGCCATGTCAGAGAAAGCACAAAGGTGCACAACAACCAGATGACAAAGGTGCAGAAGGACCAACGCATCATGCACCAAGTCCAAGCTTTTGCCGTTTCGCTCGGGGTATTTAGGTGCAATAGCTTTCTGTTTCCTCAAAGCTAAAGGCTACTCTAGGAGGACTCCAGGGAGTTGCTTGGGGTTTGTTCACGAAGTTGACAAGGTTTGTTTGGAGCTGTGGCTCAAAGTTCCGGCGCAACTGCCGATGGCAGGGATGCTGAATGACGCCCGACTTTTCACAGATAGGGTGGTCTTCAATCCCAGGTTGACGAGAAATTTTTTGTTTGCTTGCCAATTGAGAGAACTGAAGGAAACGCCGCAGGATGTCTATCGCTTGACCTAGCTGACCTAGCTAGCAGATGAATATGAAAGGTCAAGCTAGAAGTAGTATATTTATATATTGTCAATATTGTGGTTATATATGTCAGTGCCTAGGCTAGGGTTGGTAGCTTGCTCGTCATAGCCATTACCTTCATGTGGCCCACGAAGCCTTCACTCAGGAAGAAGCTCCAGACCGCGTTGAAAGTGCCTTGACTGGACGACAAGAGGTGAAGATTATGGCTAGGTAGATCATTGTACATAATTTTTGTCAAGGCTGGTTGCCCTGAGTTGCAACTTATCCACTGCGTTGAGCACAGACTTCTTGAAATTGTCATCTTCCTGAGTATGATGGCCAGCGGCTCAAGTTTAGGTTGGAGGCTACTATGACGATGAGCTTGTGGACCTCTGATTGAAAAAGGTTTGAGAAAGAATTTGCATGTAAAGGTGCCTTCTGTTCTGTATGCAATTGTTTTACACGACTTCTTTTTAATAGGAGGAGGTCAAGCCTTTGAAGAGGGCTGAGTAAAATGGCCGTTCTTCTGTCCCGCAGTTGTTTTCAATAAGGCTTAGGCTTGAGTCGATCGTACTTTTTCCGATTTGGCCTTGACCCGATTACACCTGAAAAATGCGAACTGAGCCAAGCGCGGGGAGCTGTTTCAGGAGCTCAACAACCGCTATGACCGCCTCCTTGAGGATTGCCAAGACCTGCGGAGAAAGTGCACATTGCGCCCACCAAGGTTGGAGACAAACACACGTGTGTTGTGGGCAGGACCGGTAAGCAGGACAGTTTCATGGCAAGGACATGAAAGAAGTGTGGTTGCCTGCCAACAACTCCATGCCATGCTGACAAGTGTCAGTATTATCAATATATGTACTGTACTATAATCGACATCTCCTTGACCAGGAAGCCCAGTACAGAGGAGGACACGCCAAGCGTCACGGGTTGTGGAGAGTGGAGAGGGAGAGAGTGTGTGTGTGCATCCCTTGGAATCATAGGGAGCCGTTTGACTTTTGGT